AGAGATTTGGGTAGGAAAGATATGGAGTCCAGCTTTGGCAACACTGAATTGGAGGTGCCTGGGGGACAGCCACGTGGAGGGGAGCAGAAAGTTGGTTAAGGGCGGGTGGGACTCACTTAGCCGGGATGTATACAAACCTGAGAATCTCGGCACAAGGTTGTAACTGGAGCCGTGAGATGGATGGGCTTGCCCAGGGAGAGGGTGTGCCATGAAAGAGAACTCCTGAGAAACAACACAACGTATAGGCGGAGTGCGCTGTTTAGAAGTGAAGGGAGGAGAGGCTCTCGGACAGCAGTGCTTGTGGAGTGGGGCCTGGAATAAGCATTTTTAATAAGCCCCCCAGTGGTTCCACCACAAGTGGGCAGATCCCCTTGGAGAAACACTCATGCAGATTTGCATATAGCTTACACCACTGTAGGTAGACCCTTAATTAATGTTGGTTCAACAAACTTGTTTTTAACAACGGTATATCTTGGTTATTTTTCCTTATCATTACATACAGATTTTATTTTTTCATTCTTTTTAGTCACTGCGTACTAACCCATCAGATAAACCATTAATTTAAGCTATTGCATATGGACATTCAACTTACTGCTTTTCCTTTTTTTTTCTTGTCCTAAACAATGTAACAATGAACATCTGCCTATTCTTCCATAGGTTTGTCTTTTTCTTATTAGTGTAAGAGCTCTATGTACAGTAGATATTTAGCTCTTTGTCATACAATAGGTTTCTTAACTTTTTGTCTTTGGGGTTTATTGTATTTTTGACTCTACATTAGTTTGGGCATTTTTATTTAACATTTATATAACCAAATGTATTCATCTTTTCCATTTGTAACTTCTTAGGTTTGTGGCACACTTAAACAGGACAGCTGTCCCCTAACATTGCCTGAGCCTTTAAAGAATCAAGCCTTGCATGTTCTGCGGGTCCCTCTTGGGTCAATGGCACCTCTGTCAGTTGGGCAGATGGGTCAGCTCCGTGCGGGTAAGTGGCAGAAAACAGAGCCACTTAGAGCAGGACACCTGGTTGTTCGGGGTCATATGACCTTCTTAGCAGTCAGCATCTGTGTCATCATTGGCTGTCGTAACACTTCAGCAAGCCATTCATATATTTTTGTTTGATAAGAACATAATCGATAAACTACCCAGGGACATCACTACCCCACACAGGAACATTTGCCTTTGAAACCAACACCTGGTTATTTCAGGGCTTGAGGGCAACAGGAAACAGGGACAGCAACTCTGAACAAATGCAAATCCTATAACCAACTTCCAGAAATGTATCCTAAATCCTCATTGGACAAGCAGAGGAAAGTGTATGAACAAAGATGAGTGTTTTGTAGTAGTAAAAAAATTGTGAACTATGTAGATATCCAATAGTGATTGATGGGCCTAGTGCAAGACGCGAGAAGGCCACGCGGGGCCGGGCTTGTGAGTGTGCAGGTGCGAGCCCCGCTCAGCCCTGTGCTGGCTAAGTGCCCGAGCAGGGCACCCACCCTCTCTGTGCCTCCGGTTCTTCAATGGTCGGCTGTGGGGCTGAGTCAACACATAAAAAGTGCTTAAACTGTGCCTGGCACACCAATTACACACATTGAGTATCTGCTGTTACTACATTAAAGGAATACTAAGCACTAACAGTTACTATATAGGAGAAAGTTTATTGAACACTCCCAGGTTTTCATGGTACGGTGTTTTAAAAGAAACATTACCAACTTATATATATATAGGAATAATTCTACACCTAATTATTCATGTGTTTGTGAATAAAGAATGTCTAGATAATTAAAAAGCACAACATGACAATTAAGGCAGCAATACAATGCTTTTCTTAGCTGTATTTTTCTGAGTTTTCTGTACAAACACATCTGATATACGATGAGGTCTGTCCAGAAAAAGTCCAGACATTGTTAATATAATAAGAACTGTTTATGCCAGATTGATGGAACCTGGCAGCCAAGGAGAGTGGACTGGAGTGAGTGAGCATGAACAATGCAGACTTCACTGTACTTGTCAGTGGGGGCGGTAGATACCATTGAGTGAGCCTGTGCACTGTGTGGCCATCACATTCAAAATGAATGAGCAAGCAGAGCAACAAATCTGCATCAAATTCTGCGTTAAATTTGAACCTTCCTCCACCGAAACTATCTGGATGGTTCAGAGGGTCGCAGCTATGGGCAACTGGTGATTGGCAGCTTCATCACAGCAATGCACCCACTCACGCATCACATCTCATGCAGTTTTTTGGCAAAACATCCAATCACCCAGGGAACTCAGCCCCGTTACAGCCCAGAGTAGGAGCCCTGTGAATTGTTTTTTTCCCCAAAACTAAAATCACCTTTGAAAGGAAAGAGATTTATGATCATTGTTGATGAGATTCAGGAAAATATGATGGGGCAGCTGAGGGCAATTGGGAGAACTGTGTGAGGTCCCAAGGTGCCTCCTTTGAAGGAGACTGAGGTGTCATTGTCCTATGTACAGTGTTTCTTGTATCTTCTTCAATAAATATCTCTATCTTTCATATTACACAACTGGATACCTTCTGAACAGAACTTCTATACCCAAAAAGATAAAGGACATTCTACTTCTACATAAAGGTGGGGCTTAATATTTGGTTTTTGATTTTTCTTAACCAGAGGCAGTGCAGATAACCTAGAACAGTGATTCAAAGCTCAGGCCCCCCTGACTATACCAGGCCCTGCCTGTGGTAGCACAGCTTTGTAGTCACACGTCAAAAGTGACTGAGCTTTCCAGTTGGTTGCTTGATCTGTGTGCTGATGAAGGAGGTGGGAGAAACATTCAGTCGAAGGAGGAACTGGTGACAAATTTGATGTCTATGGATAGAAGTGACTTAAAGAGAAACAGCCCATCAAAACAGTTGATATTTCACAAGGAAGGCTCCAATTATTGTTTTAATTAAAATGTGGCCCTTGAGGAGGGGCCAAAGGGCCAAGCAAACAGGGAGTTCAGGGTGCACAACGGGGTCTGAGGTGTGGTCCTGGACATTCTGGCAGAGAAGCTGGGGCAGTGGCCACTGTAAGTAACACCACGCCTTTATTGTGAGTCTGCAATGTGGCCTGCGAACCTTTCAATGCCCCTTTGAAATCACAGAACACCATGTCATTTCTGAATCTAAAGACTTGCAAGTGACTGGAACTTGCAATAAATGTGAATGCCAGCAGGTGCAGTGCAAAATGGAGACCAACCCACGAACACAGGGAGAACATGGTACACTACCACGGCACCTCAGGCTGCCATTCCTGGTCATTCTTGGGGATCCACTGTGGTGGTGGTGGTGGTGGTGTCAGTACACTTGAGAGAACTGTTTAAGAGTTCCAGGGCAGTACACCACATACTCAAATCTGCAGTGAAGAGGGGACTGGTGATAATTCCAGAGTGACGCATTATAGCTACACTGCCCTGCTGGGCCACGGTCAGCACACCCCCAATGCTGTCAGGCTTTGTATTATCATTGGCCACAAATAAGCATCTTCACTAATTGATGGCAACCTGCTCTCCCCAAAGTCAGATATCTATATTAAATGGCCCAAGGCCACCTGTGACTCCCAGACCCAGCATATGCAGGGTTTCCCCGTTGCCAGCTACACCCTGTATGTATGTATCAGAACCCAAAGGGGAATCAGGGACACCCATGGACCAGCCAGGAACCAGTGCAGAGGGAATGGAAATGCACCTACCAAAGAAGAAGAGACCAAAACCTGGAGGCACAGTACAATGTTTTAAGTGTGAGGGTGATGGTCTGGAGCAGCTTGGCTACACTTGCAACTGCAGAATGATGTCATCTGCTGAGGCAACATAGTGCTATGGTTTAGAACATGAACCCCAGATGGAGGAGATCAGCCAGCACTGAACATGCAACTCTGCTACATATTAGCTGTGTGAATGGGCTTGCGATTTAGCCTTTGTGCCCATTTTTGGCTTTGTAACATAAATACAAGTTCCCATAGCTGAGGGGTGCGGCCAGACCAACTGAGCTGACTCATGAGAGCAGTGTCTGGAGAAGGCTCAGCAAGCCAGGCCCCAAAGCCTCTGTGGAGCAGGTAACAGTCAGGGAGATTACAGGTGGGAAAACCAACTCAGGACAGGGGGCTGCTGGCTCCAGGACCTAGTGGACAGGGGAGTCCCCTCAGCAAGAATAAACCATGTCCCCATGTGGGAGGCCCTTTCCTAGTATCATTTTGGAGAGAATGGAACTATTAACAAAGTAGCAACTTCCTAAGGTATATGGCCCCTGACTCTCTGGAAGTAAGACCCCTCAGGGGAGCAGTGGCCATGCACAAGTCCCCCCATTCCAGAAAGGGACAGTGAGGACACTGAAAGCTGGGCTCTGACTCTCACTTCCCTAAACCATTCCTACAGTCTCTCATGACACAGACCACTGACACTACTATGCACTGATGACATCAAAGTCCCTAGAGCACGTTCTGGGATCTAAACAGGCTCAGAATCACTCCAGGGAAGCAAATCAACAGTACAGGTTCCCAGGCCCCAGCCTAAGGCCTCTAACTCAGTAGGCCTGATTTGGGCCCACCTTTCTAACAAACAAGTCTAGGTTATGCTGATGCAAGTGGCCTGCAAGTTACCCATGAGCAACGATGCACCAGGGCTGCGACTCACAGTGTGGCCCATAGATGCTACAGCATCACGAGTTTACAAGCCAGGCAGCCTCCCGAGGCCCGTGAGGACCCACGGAGTCCGACAGTGCAGTTGACCAGAACCCCCCTGCGGTCGGTAAGCAGTCTGCAGGATGTTCTTCAACAGTGTCCCTAGATCGGCCTTCTTCAGCATTTGATATGCTGTCTCTGAAACAGGCCGTGAAGAAATCAGAATTCTGCATTTTGCTTTGGCTCTTCCTGCCTAACTGCCTAGAGAATAAATTTTATGAATATTACTCACACTCTGGGGAAGCAATAATTGACTGTTTACAAGATACATTGTACTACGCTGTAAAAGTGTTATGAAATAATTACATGGAATAAGTCATACAAGTACTTGAAGACTTTATTATATGCTTATGTCTAATTGAAATCCATATAAACAGTTACACTGAGCAGTCTTTATGCACTAAACTTGAAAATATAAAATATAAAACCAATTCAAGTACTTCTCATATTAAACCAATTTTTTTGGTTTTATTTTATTTTTTAGCTTTCTTTGACACCATAATAAGATAGAACAAAAAAGTAGGCAAACAGTGTATTAAGTAGAATTTTTAAAAACTTTTACCTTACCTAACATATTAAGTATTTTCAAAACAATTCTGCCATAAGGATCAAATCATCATCCTCAGAGACCTGAGCTCACCAGCCGTCTGAAAACGAGGGGCGGCTGCGGGCGCACAGCTCCGCAAGCCCTCTAGGCCCCACCGTCCGAGGACACTCACGCACAGGCTGCCTGAAGGTCACAGCGATGCAAACAGGACTAGAAGGATCTTCAGACAGAGGGAGGATGAAGTTAGGAAGGGGGGTGGTCCTCCCCTCGGATGCTTCGGTATTTCGCCATGTCTTCTGGAAACACTTTAGAAAGTTCTTGAATCAACAGGCTTTTAAATTTCTAAGAAGAAAAATGTATACTGTCAAAATAGCCTTGTGACCCACCCCCAAGTTAAAGAGCACACCCCCCAGAGCCCTCCAAAGACTGGAGTCCACGTCACCCTCACGCAATCCCACGTCCCAGGGCTGCCTGCTCACCACCCATGGATGCGATGCTTGGTGAACCAGCTGCAAACTACACTTGCAGCCACGTTACAGGCACATTAAGAACTAGCGGAAGGAGGAAATCATGTTCAAATACACTTCTTCCCTCTTGCTTCAAAGTGATAAAAGGTCCTCCTATAGGGAGCCATTCACACATGTGAAAATGATTTTTGTATACAGCACACGTAACAGGAATCTTCAAATAATATTTAATGAAGCAATGAATAACTTGAACCACATCTCACTGTGTGTGCAAACAACTCAATCAAAGCATTCAGAGCACCTGGAAGCCTGTCTACCCCAAATGCCATGGCTTCCTGATCATATTTATCAGCATAACATTGTTTTACGCCAATCTTAAAGGCAGCTAGATACTTATCTATCGGCATCTCAAAACCTTTTCTTATAAGCTACACAAAGAAGCACTGTGGGCATACACAGATATAATACTTACACAGGTAAGAATGTTTTCAAAGGAGACTGCACTTCAACCCTTCAATACACACCCACTGGACAAAGGCAGGCCATGTAACTGCTCAGGGACTTTCACAGGTCTTGGAGAGAATAACACCAAGCAACAACCATGGCAAACTGAAGACAAACCACAGTTGCCAGACAGTACTGCCAACAGGAAAACTCTGCATCACCCACAGGCACTGGAGTTGCACAGAAGTGTGGCGGGACCGAGCGGAACTCTCAGGGACCACTACCCTGTTCATGTGGAGATTTCTGCTGGACAGTCCAACTCCCTCAAAAAACAGTCCAAATAAGCACAGCTTACTGCCCATTAAAGCTGCATTATTTGCTGTGGGTGACACTGATTCAACAGCAACTGAGCTTCCAACTGACAGAAGAGAAATACAGCCACACTAACAGTTATAGCAAACGCCCCTCCAGGGCACGCTGCCTATCACCAGCACAGATCACGTAGGGGCACACTGGGAACCCTGCAACCGCAGGGCAACATGTGATGCCTGTCGCTGTGATCCTGAGTGTCTCTCTCATGCTCCTCACACCCTCTGACCTTAAAAGGTCACATCAGACACTGACTGAGCACACCCGTGGGTGCTGGACATCAGCAGGAATGGAACACTCATGCCCCACAACCCTGGAGTGTAAGCTGCAAAAAAGAGACAGAATAAGGGAAAAAAAGAGGAATCCTCCTCAGCACTCAGGAAAGAGGCTTGGGAAAGGCTTGTCCCCAAGGCCTCCCTGAGCAGGTGACATACAGTGACCCCAAAGGAAAGGCAGTGTGCAAAGGGAGCACATAAGAGCTCCAGACAAAAAGACCACATGAGAACAAACAGGAAGGAGAGGGTTTGGTGAGCTCCAGAAATGGAAACGAGACCAGCATGGCTGGGCCAGAATGAGAAGTGGAGGTGGGGAGGCAGCAGGACTCCTTGTATGAGGCCGACAGAAATGGGAGACCAGAAAAGGGATGGCACTGTCCAATTAGAGGAAAAATCAAACCATGCACACTCCAGTCAGAACGACATTTGAGTGAATTGAGAGAAAGAAAAAAACAACATGTTTCGTGCTATAGATGCAAGGAGTTTTCTAGATCTATCACAGCTCAGGAACAGAGCAAGTTCTCTGTGGAGAAGGGAGTGACGAGGGGATATGGTACAAAGGGGTCTGCAGTCAGAAGCTGGAGACCACCACCAGAGATGCAAAAGGGAATGAATGAAGATTCAAGACCCCTCCTAACCAAAGAGCCACAAGTATAGGAAAAGACCCGACAGAAGGCACCGCTGATATTGAACTGTTTACTACATGTCACACAATTCAGAAATCTCAACTGTGTAATGTTGTAAGATAGCTGGTGTTTTACCAAACATGGAAAAGGATAACAAAGTCTACCAGCCAAATTTGCTTTGTAATGATTTATGCTGTGACATTATTTTCTGTTTATAGGAGCCTTACCTTCATCGTGTCAATCTTGCCTTTAACTTGTTCATTTTTCGCTAGGGCCCTCTCCAGGCACTCTTTGGTGTAGAGCTGTGGGTTTCGACCTTGATCTATATATCTGGAAACAAGAAACATCTAATTCAACACTCTCTTTGCTAATATCTATTCTTGGGGGGTGGGGGTGGGGCTAGCTGTATATAACTTCATATGGCCCTGTTGAGAAGAAACTGTGTCCAAAAACCAGGTAAATTAGGGTTCCTTCATTTATACAAGGATAGATGTGATCTCTTATTACTTGTAATAATATGAACGCCTCATAAAATCAAGTAATGATCACTTATAAACCTAGCAAGCTCCACAGCTCCACCACTCTACATCTGCAGCATCCATGCTTCCCAAAGGCTTCATGGCCATTACACCTGGATCCTCACAACAACCTGTGAGGCCAGGAAGATCTTGATATATGAGAACTACAAGTGGGCCAGGGCTTCAGGCAAGGGATTCAGGCACATCAATATGGGGGAGCCAGGGAGAGCCCCCCAGGATGCCGCCTACACATCAAGTCCCCCATCCTCGAGAACCCTATGTGGAGGAGCCTCAGGCTGCTGGGGGGGAGGCGGGGAGCTGCAAGCAGGACAGCCAGGCCCTGTTCACCCAACATTATTTTATAAACTGTTCCACTGCTTTCCTTCCCTCCCCCCTTATTTAGTAGGGGTATGTTACGAAATAACCTAAGTAACTTGAACCAAACAGAGAGATTCTCCCCAATTATTTCTAAACAGTATAAAACTGTTTCTTGAAAATTTCAACACTTTTCCAATATGTCTTCCTTATCCCAAAGATTTCATTAAGCACACTGCCTAGAGGAAGATTCACATCTTACCAGCAGTAGGCCACCTGTCTCCTTCTGTACCCTGATGAAGACCTTCATATCACTCAGCTAAACTGAATTATTCATTACAAAGAAACAAAATCTACCACCACCACACTAAGTCCAATTTATGTATTTTAATACTTCAGTTAAATAAAACTATCACTTTAGATAAAGGCACTGTTGAGTTACTTAATGGCATAGAAACTAGCCTTCATGACAGATAAAAAAATTAGTAAATCACAAGTTCTAGAAATTCCATTGCATGGCAATGTTCTTGAAATGATGGAATGAAGGAAGCAGAATTATGGTTAATTCTAAACAAAATCCATCCATTTCTAGAGAACAAAAAACCTTACAGGTTCAAGTGTCCTAAATAAACCACCATTCAACAGCAGTATTACTCAGATTGGGATCTTCTTCCAGGACCCAAAGGCTGACCCCACTTCTGCCAACACACCTGCCCAGTGAGGTTAGGGAGTGCTGGACAGAAAGGCCCAGGCTGATATCTTTATCCCTGTTACAGAAAACAGTCAGTGTGTCTGAAAGTGCATGCTGAGAAAGCCACTGCGAGCCAGGATGCCCCTACCTTGTGCAAAAATGACCAACAGTTTGCAGCACTGATCATTGGAGCCCAGAGGCAACCTCATTGCCAATACCCAGGTGAGTCTCCACTGTCCCTTTGGCCCAGCTGCTGGGGCTGGGGCTGAGCTGGCCAAAGCCCTATTCCCCGCTGTCCTTCAGCAATCCTTCTCCATCATCTTACTACCTGTCAATAAACCCATCCCACACATTCATGGCCAGAACAGCACTGATGAGGAAGGCAAAGCAGCCTCCACCTTCCCACACTCCACAAGCCAGCATGATCACCCAGGAGTCCAGACTTGCAACCCAGACACAGACCTTCACGCACACCTGAAGCCAGAGAATTCAGTGGGGCCAACTGAGAACATGCAGAGAAAACATGACACCGTGGCCAACAGACGACGCAGCTGGGCCCCTGAAAACTGCAGCATGAATGTCCCGTCTCTGTGGACAGCTGCTGAGCTCCCTTGTCACTTGGACTTGTATCTCTGACCTTTTGGGATAGAAAATGACAATAGCTTTCCCTTTACAGTCAAAGGTCAGTTCTCAAACATTTCCCATCTGGAACAACTTGGTTCTCGGCCAAGCTGTTCACAGAAAAAATGCCTCAGTTGTCGAACAAAACTCCATTTCTCGACCCAACAACCCTTTCGTGCTGATACTGCATTTCTAATGGGAGAAAATGATTCAGTTTTCAAAAAAAAAAAAAAAAATGCTTCTCAAACAGCCTTCCAGAACAAATTAAGTTTGAGAACCAAGGTTCCACTGTACTGTTTCAAGGAAATTGATGGTTTACACTTTCAGTTTTACTGCAAAAAGTACTAGCACGCTCTTGCAAATCGACTGGAGTCAGCTCCAGGAAGAGGCTGACTGTCACAGAGAAAACGGCCCTGGTTGAGGAAGGACAAGTCCAGGATTTTAGTCTTCACTCTGACACAGACTAGTAACTAGCCCACCGCAGTCACTTATCAGTCCCTTCACCTGTGAAATCAGGGGTGTGTGACAACCAAACCAGTCTGATGAAACCTGGATTAAAAAAAACGTAGGTTTACTTCCTGGATGCATTCTCTGGGCTGTGACTACAGTAGACACACATACCCTCCTGCAGAAAACTGTGAACAACCTTCGCAAACTTATTTGGCCTAAGAACTTTTTTTTTTTTATATTCCCACCTCCAAGAACTAGCAGTCCCAGGGCAGCATGGGAGATACCAGACCAGATTACTTTTCAGGTTGTTTCTGGCTATAACTTTTTAAAATTTAAAATATAACCCACTTAAGACTCACTTTTTTTTTAAATTAAAAGGGAAGTTATGTGGCTGTCCTTCCATCTAAACAGGACTTTGAGAATCTATGATTTTTCTCATATTTCATATTTAATACTCCTCTATTCTTAAGTAAGTTTTTCAACAAATCTGAGATATTTTTAAATTGTTAATCCTCCCAGAACAAAAAACTCTATGACGGCAGGTGTCTTTGTCCATGTTCTTCACTGGCATATTCCCAGCACCGAGGCTGTGCCTACCACACAGCAGGCAGTAAAACACCCGTGACTGAAGCAGTCACCACAACTAAATTATACTCAAATGAATATCAGAAATGGTACTTACTCAAAAACTTCTAAAGGTACAGTAATATCATGAAGTTGCTGTCTGCACTTATCAATATCCTGTAAGCCAGTCACAATAAAATTCCTGGGGAAAAAGGCAAAAATGGGGACATTTGGTTAACTCCATGGCACCGTAAGCACCACACACCTGGCCAACGGGGGCTCCACAAAGGTGTTCCTTCCACATACAGGGTTTACACATAGCTCATAACTTTTTGGTTACCTAGAGAACTCCAAGGAAGGGTTTGAAATTACAGAATACCTCATATGTTTGTTGATTTGCTTTCTATACTAGAAATTGCCAATGTTGGAGGCCTGGAACCAACTCCCTTGAAAATGTCATGAAAAATGTAAACCTTCTCTCAAAAACAATTACCCTGAGATGCATTATGATTTCGTTTGTGGGGCAGTGGACTCCAGCTTAAGAAGGCCCTCACTGCCCGGTTGAATTTCAGCCCCTCTGGGCAGCCTTCCTAAATCACAGGGCTAGTCCCCCAGCACTGGGTATGCAGCGTGGACTGTATGCTTATGCTCCCTATAAAGCCGTGAGCCCTTCTCCAGAGCATTCTATTTGTGTTTGCTTTTGTCCATCCCAGGCCCTAGCACTATGCTGGCACAACGATGTTGACCAAAAAATACTAGTTAACAAAGGGTCTAGGGCGTTTCTCACCGACCCTTCCCCCAGTTCCTCCAAATTCAAGCCTATGCAACAGGTGGTGCCAGCAGCCCTCATCTTCCCAGGCCCATTTCCGTGGGCTCCCAGTGAAACCCGCCTCCCCTCTGGGGACCGACAAGCTCTGAATTCCCCAGGGAATTAGGAGGAAACTCCGGGAGGGCGTCAGAGGTGCCCAGGGAGAAACTTAGATAATGAAGCATGGCTCCCTCGGATGTGGCCCCTAACCAGAAACTGTTTTGTCTGGCATGAGAACGTTTCCAAAAGAGCCTGCAAGGCAAAGCGAGAAGGGGGCGGGCCGGCAACTGACGGCATCGGCAAGCCCGCCCTCAGTGCACAGCCGGGAGCGAGGAGTCCGGGAAGGACCAGGTCCAGAGGAGGACGGGAGATAGGATGTGGCTCTAAGCCCGGCCCCGGCTTCCCTATCCCAGTTCCCCATCCCCGTTCCCATACCGGCTCCCTGAACGAACGCTGCCCGGCCGGCCCCACGGAAACGCGGGCGACATCTGGCCGCCACTTACAGTTTTTGGTTGAGCCCAGCCTGGCTGCTGGGCTGGAAGTCGCTGACGATGATGCCGAGCTGCCGGATATTCTCCACGAACTTCTCCAGGTGCTCCTCCAGGTGGTCGAACTTCTCCGCCATGGCCCTACGGTCTGCACCGCCACGGGAGTGGCCCCACTCCACCGCTTCCTGCTTCCGCCTGGGCCCACTACCACTTCCGTTTCCTCTGGAAGCAGGAGGAGCAGGGACTAGAAGGTGGGCGGGTCTGGCCGTTGCGGGCAAATCCCAGGTTCTGGAGCGCCTAGTGGGCGGGGCCTGAACATGGGAAGGGGCGGGATTTAGGTTGGCCCCGCCTTGCAACCCTAAGCGGTATAGATGGGCGGAGCAGCCAGATGTCAGTCGTCAGGACTCCCCCGCTTGCCAGGGGCCGTAAAGGACGGGTGGTGAGAATCTGCAAGACCTTGCTCTGCCTTTCTGCCCCTGAACAAGTTCTCTTGTCCCTGAGCCTCTGTTCACGTCCATAACATTCAGGAAAATCAGACATGACAGCTACCTGAGGTTAGAGGAGGTAACGCCAGGAAAAGGGGAAAAGCACAGCAGCCAGGGCTTGCAGAGAGTTGCTCAGACCCACGATTAGAATGACTTTTTTGTCTGGACATACAAATTATAGGTATTCATTGCAATCAATTAAAACAATACAGAAAAAAAGTGTAATGAAAGCGGAAAAGACCTGAAACCTTGCCCCCCCCCCCCGCCCCCACTTAAGCCATCTTCAAGATCAATCGTTCTCTGCATTTCTTGGGTGTACATACATCTGAATTTGTATGGGTAAGACCCCATTTATACTTATCATCCTGATGTAATTATTAATAGCACTCCCTTTTACTCACTGTCAAAATGTCGCAATTTGGTTGATACATAGTTTCCCTAGTTAAAGGGGAAACCGTGAAATATTTGGAACTGAATGATAAACACTTCCTATCAAAGTTCAGCTTTATTTCTAAAGTGATACTTTGAGGGATGATAGTCTGGAAATAAAAAGCTGGGGTTTCAACTCAAAAAGAAAAAAAAAGGAGCAAGAGAGAAATCACAAGCTCAGCAATCGTATACAGGGTCTGGCAGAAGTAAGGCTGGCTTGGGTGTGGTGGTCGGGTACATAAACGTCTTACACAAGATGGACAGCAATTTGAACATTCCACCTAAAATGTCATACGGTGAGCTGGAGTGTGATACTGTTATGTTACAGAATTATATGCTTAAGATTTGGCAATAAAAGATTTTGTAATGAAAAAAAGAGGTGTTATTTGTGCTGGACCCTGTGGAAAGGAATAATGAAAGTAAAGACATAGATTGATTTTTAAAAAGCTTCACTAGTTTTCTTTCTATATTCATTATGATGGGGGACTTGAAAGTTGGAAGATTTTAGTTTAGGTAGTAGCTAATAAGCTTAGTAATCAATGCCCATAAACGCTATTGTTCCAGGGACTGAAAGTATGACTCACCCTGACTCCAGGAGACCAAAGTAGTTCCACCTTTATGCCTCAGGAGGGCTGCAAGCAGTTCAAGATGGTATCTGAGCCATTGTACTCCAGGGTGAGATGACTAATGCCCAGGACAAGAATGCTGCAGCTTTTTAATCCGATTAACTTTTCCCTGAATTCCAAAGCCCTCACCAACACTTTGTTCTCCTTACAAAAAGGGTCATTTTAAAATGGAATGTAAGGTGGTCTGTTAGGGTACAAACCCACTGTCTTCCCAGATCTCTGACCATCTGAATAAAGCGCCTATAAAGATTCAATCCTTGTCTCTGCTTATTGGGTTTGGTAGTGACAGGCAGCATGAACATCAGCTTTTTCAGTTAGAATTAGAAGTTAGAAAAAATGAAAAGTAAAGGTGATGCGTGGGTCACCAGGCAGCAGTGATCACGGAACACTGCGGATGGCTCGACGAAAAACATGCAAGAAAAAACATGCACAGAGACAGACTAGTTTCTGTGGAGAAGTAGGGACAGAATGGCCACCCCCTCTAGTGGGGAGCACACCAATTTACCGTCCAAACCTGCTTTTACTGGGCTCATTTTGCATAATAATTCAGGTAAAGTACAGTACTCATTAGGGGGAAGTAAGGAACCATAGAAAACAAGGAACTCTGCAGGTCTATTTTGAGTCAGGGTCAAAGAGCTGTAAGACTGTGAGGAGCAAACTAACCTCCTCCTTGGACCCTTCTCATTCAGCTGAGAGCATTCTAAACAAAGAAGGTTTCACAGTAATTTACATATTCTTGCTTAGGCCTGATCACCCAGGGAATCCCCCCGTTTCAGCACAGAGCTGCACCACCCTGTCATTGTTTCAGGCTTAGGTGGAGCAAGGGAACTAAGGCAACCAAGAGATAAGGGGATTTTCTCCCAGATGATGAGAACTCAGGCTATGTCAAAGCTGAGGAGCGAGGGTCTATCACCCCCTTTTGCTGCAGCCCCCAAAGTCCTTCTTTTGGGGGGCCTCCCAAGTGATCTTGCCTGTCTTAGGTCATTCCCCCCTTGGGGAATCTTACCCATCTTTGGCTAACCGACCAAGCTTTGGGGTTCAGTTTGAATAAAGCAGCAGAAGCAGCGCTTCTGCCAGGGAGATAAGCTTTTGTCTCCTTGCTGGCTTACGGTTCCAAGGGCGTTCCCTTAGCCTTAGCCTAGGCGGGGTTACAGCTTCTGATACCAGTCAGGGCGGTTCCCAACATAAAGGAAACCTAACTGTTGAAAATCCAAATATGCATACTTTTATCAAGTCTCATCAGGAAGGCAGAGAGAGAGAATAAACAACATTATAAATGAATGAGAAAATATAATTCAGTTGCAGTGAAATTTGTTCATATTTTGAAAGCTTGAAGGATGTGGACAAGTTTCTAGGAAACTATGAAAAATTAACTTAAGAAATCATAGAAAATCAGAACAGATCCTAACTTTTTAATAAACTGGCCACTAGACAAAAATCCTTTAAAGAAATGAAAAGCATCAAACTCTGACAGCTTTTTACCTTAGGTTGGCTTATTTTAATCAAACATTAAAGGAGAAAATAATTTCAAACTTACGTAGATGCTTTCAGAGACTAGGGGAAAAAAGGGAACACATACCAGGTCATTTTTTAAGGGTTGTATAACTTTGGTGTGAAAAGCAGACAAAGACAGTGAAAAACAGGGGGGGAAAAAAGGAAAATATAGTCCAATCTTTTTTCTGCAAGTAGATGCAAAAGTCCTAAATAGAACATGAGCAAATTGAATCAAATAACATGTGTCAGCTATCTATTGTTACATAGCAAACCTCCCTAAAACTAAAACAATCACAACCCTCTTATTTGCTCCCAAATCTGCAATGTGGGCTGTGCATGGCATTCACAGTTTGTGTCTCTGCTCCTTGTCACATCAGTGGGGGTGGCTTCACTGGAGCTGGAGGATCTGCTTGCAAGGTGGCTGACTCACTTGGCTGCCATGTTGATAGTGGATGCCAGCTAGGAGCTCAGCTGAACTGTAGGCTGGAGAGCACTGTTCCCCTCCATTTCAGTCTCTCTGCAGGCTTTTGGGGATTTCTCACCTCATTGTGGCTGGGTTGCAGGAGCACATAGCTCAAGAGAAGCAGGCAGAAGCTGTACTGCCTTTTATGACCTAGATTTAGAAGTTCCATCATACTTCCACCAAAGCCATGGCACATTTGGATTCCCAGAGAGGGAAATGTAAACGCAGCCTCTCAATGGAAAAAGAAAGTCACATTGTTGGTGTTAGAATGTACTGGGAGATGGAGGACCTAAGCCTCCACCAATACTGGAACAAAGAAGGTCTGCATCACCGGCTAACCACCTAACCAGGAGATTCTCCATTATCAGAAGCAGCTGAGGCATTGCCACCCGCATCCTGCTGGAAACCGGTTAAATCCTCACTGTCCCTCCCCCCTCCATCGCGCTTTTCCCAGAAACTAGGCCCATAAATCTCCCGGACTTTCTCTCGCTGACTCAGCCATCGCGGGTCACAGGCCGTTACTTGCAAACACTGGTACTACTCAGGACACCTGGGAGCAAATCAGCAGGGTGACCCACCCTCCCCTGGGATCTGCTACACGCCCTTAAAAACCCTGCACCCTTTTCCTTGCTGCTGCAGTCTGCTTGGACTCAGCTCGCAAACCGTAGTGTCCCTCCTGGAATAAAAGCCCTCAACTGGACCTTTCTGGCTCCCGGTCCTTTCTTAGCCACCTCGCTACCTAAGAATTGGTAGAGTGGGTAAAATGGGAAATCTTATTGAAGCCATTTTCATATAATACAACCCGTCACACTTAATATTGAAAAAATTATAATGATCTACTGGGCTTTTCCTAGGACTTTGTGAATGGTTAGATATCATAAAATCTATAATTAAGTCCATTAAAAAGTGTAGAAAAAATCTCCAGTCAATTTACAAAATAGATATTTGATAAAAATTCAACCCAATTCATGATTATTTTAAAAAATAGAAATTTCCTAAATCTGATAAAGGATAAATGCAGAAAGCATCAGATTAATGACGAGACCGTCACCCCAACTGTCCAGGATTACTTTACACTTACGTACCAGTCAGCTTAAAGACAGTCAAGGAAGTAAGCAGCACTTGGCTGTTTTTTAAGTCCTTGCTATTGTCTGCCCTTATTTTGACATTGAACCTTCTGAATTGTCATTAAAATTTCTTTTTTCTACCCTATCTTTCCAACTATATTTTAGGCATTTTGAGGACAGGACTCTAAACTCACATATTCCTCAGAGTCCCAAATAAATAGTTTTTGATTATTTAAAGGCTACAGGAAAAGGAGACAAAGGAAGCAGCAAAAAGAAACCAAATGCCTGTTTTTCCACTATGAATGTAACTCCCCAGGAAGTCATTCTTTTCTGTGGAGGTAGACCTGACAGCACTTGCTTGCCAAATAATTAAGAGAAATGGGGGCTTCTGCAGTTTTGACTTAGGGCCCCCCTCCTGTTTTGTTTTGGGTTTTTGTTTTTGTTTTTGTTTTCAGCATTTACTGAGTTGTTTCTGTCTTCTCCTATACTGCAGGTATAGCCTGCAAGGGCCAGTTTCTAAGAGCAGTTTGGCCAAAGAAAAGCTTACTTACATGGAGACGTTTGCACTGCTGCTTTTCCCCCTGCCTAATAACAGTCCTCCAGTGTCTGTTATGTTACCCGTGTATTAATTCCCTAGGGCTGCTGCA